GCAGGAACGCACAGGAACGGAGTTCCGGCTGGCTCCTGAGTTGGCCACGCCCAGCAGGAACTCATTAGCATAACAGGCCACACCCAACAGCAGAAACTCATTAGGATTGGCTACATTAGGGGTGTGTGGCCTAACATGCAAAGAAGTTCCTGCTACAAAAAAAGCCCAGGGTTTTGACAACAAAGTAAACCTAATAAGAAGCAAAAGGTGGGTGTGATTGGATGACCACACTTCTGGTAACATGTGGGGTGTGGCCTAATATGCCAATGAGCTGTGCTGTCAGGGTGTGGCCTAATATGCTAATGGGTTTCTGCTGTTGGGTGTGGCCTATTATGCTAATGAGTTCCTGCTGGGCTTTTTCTACAAAAAAAGCCCTGATCAAATTTATACCCCGCCCTCCCCGCTGAAGCTGGTTCACGGCATCTTACAGAACTTAAAATGCATAAATAACCATTAAAACAATCATAAAACCTTCTAAGAACAATCCAGATGCTGTAAAGTGCTAGTACAATTGGTCTGAGAATATTAATGAGATGGTGGTGGCAAAGTGATATCCTGCCCTATTGGTACGCTTCTAATTCTGTTTCTTCTTCTGTGGCCAGTTCAGGCTGCTGTTGATGACTCCGAAGGGCAGGGCTCACAATTAATTATTGGGGAGGGGCTCCTAGTTGAAGGCCTGGTGGAAGAGCTCCGTCTTGCAGGCCCTTCGGAACTGGATAAGGTCCCACAGGGCCCTGATCTCTTCTGGGAGCTCATTCCACCAGTATGGAGCCACCACCAAAAAGGCCCTGGCCCCAGTTATAGCCAGCCTGCCGTCTTTAGGTCTCGGGAAGGTCAGTTGATTTGGGATCCTGACCACAGTGCACCCAGTTTGGTGTAGTGGTTAAATACGCAGACTCTAATCTGGGAGAACCGGGTTTGATTCCCCACTCCTTCACTTGCACCTGGCTGGATGACCTTGGCCAAGCCATCATTCTGGGACAGCTGTTCTTGAAAAAATCTCTTCTTCTTCTTCTTCTACCTCGCAGGGTGTCTGCTGTGGGGAGGGGAGGGAAAGGAGTTTGTAAGCCGCTCTGAGACACCTTTGGGTAGTGAAGGGTGAGGTATCAATCCAATCTCCTCTTCTCTTCTCCTTCTTCTCTCTGGGAAACGTGTGAGGAAAGGCGGTCCCTCAGGTATGTCGGCCCCTGACCACTGAGGACTTAAAAGGTAAGAACCAGCACCTTGAAGCGGACTGAAGCACCTTACCAACAACCCTCTTTTGGCAGCTCCATCATCCTGGATTTATGAAGCTATTGTTTCTGGCTTCTCTAAAATGGAGCTGATCATTCAAACTGACATGCTTATTTATCACGTTGTCCCATGTCTACTGTCACCAACGCTGTGGTTGATGCAATGGATAGGGGCCGGTTTGAGTTCTGTCTTTTTTTAGAGTGTCCCTTCTTCCAACAATTCCGTTCTCCAGAACTATCACCAGCATGGAGCAGAGGTTCATCCGTGGCTATTAACCACTAGGTATAGATGGAACACTCTGTCCGGGGCGCTGATGCTCTATCTTCTTGGTGCTTGGGGGGAAACAGTGGGAGGGCTTCTGGAGTTATGACCCTGCTGGTGGATCTCCTGATGGCATCTGGGTTTTGGCCTCTATGTGACACAGGGTGTTGGACTGGGTGGGCCATTGGCCTGATCCAACAAGGCTTCTCTTATGTTCTTAATTATGTCTGGAGCGGTGATGCTCTTATCTTCTTGGTGCTTGGGGAGAAACAGTGGGAGGGCTTCCAGAGTCCTGGCCCTGCTGGTAGACCTCCTGACGGCACCTGGGCTTTGGCCACTGTGTGACACAGAGCATTGGACTGGATGGGCCACTGGCCTGATCCAACATGTCTTCTCTTATGTCCCCACTGTTTGAAATAAGTCTTAAAATGGTCATGTCAAACCCCTACTACTGAACAGCCCTCCAAGTCTCACCTTTGACAGAAGTAGCTTCACACAAGCCATGTGGTCTTCGTAGACTGCTGAAAGGAGTGGAGTGATACTGTGTTTGTCTGGAGCCTGTAAAAAAACGAAGGGCCGCACTTGATGAAACCTATTAGGATATCCACCCCAAGAGTAGCAGACTGCTTTAATAATATGCTAATAACGTCATGGTGGTGATTATGAATCAGCACAGAAGAACTTAATCCAAATAAAACTTTGGCCTGTATCTAAGCACACATTCTGAAGTTTTAAGGTCTTTGGCAGAGTGGACAGAAATTCCCACTAATTCCTCCCTCAAGCCGCTGCAGCTCAATGAACCTCCTGAAACTCTGTTCTTGGGGGGGGGGGGGGGGAG